GGATCACTTCATTAGATAATAAGACACTTGAGTTGAACTACATTAAAAGATTGAATCTAATCGATTAGTTAGTTCAACTCAAGAGCTTATATACCGATTATTTTGCTCTTGAACTTCCGATGTGGGATGACACTCTAACACTCCTCCTCAAGTGGACAACCGGGCCATTTTCAATCTAACCGGTTGACCACTTGCAAATGAACTCCCATTCCTTTTACTTTTTTTTTGAGCGCCAACATCTAAAGGACCACGAGCCGCTGGGTATGGACATCCAGACGAGCAATCGTGTTAAACGGGCCCCAGGTCGTTGGATACATACTCCATACGGGCAACTGAGCTAAAGACAAACGGGCCGTTAGGAATGAACCTCTAGACAGACACCTTGACAAACGAGGTGGGCCAAAACCTGCTCTGATACCATGATACAATTTAGGATTGGGTAGGGATCACTGGATTAGATAATAAGACACTTGGGTTGAACCACATTAAAAGATTGAATCCAATCGATTAGTTAGTTCAACTCAAGAGCTTATATACCGATTATTTTGCTTGAACTTCCGATGTGGGATGACACTCTAACAGTACCAAAATACTGTATCAAGCCTATTCTTAAGAGTGAAGTGGGAAATCTGGTCGGAATCGACCCTATCCAATAAGTACTTAGAATCAGTCCAGAAAAACCAAAACTTATTATCTGCAACATAATTAAAACCAGTGAAGCCAAGCTTAAAAGCAAAGCTAGGGCCTTTGTTCGAAGTAATCATAGGTTCAATAAAGAAGTCAGTAGAGTGGTCCTTTTTAAGGAGGTTGAGCCGCTTGCACCTCCTCGAAACTCCCCTATTATTCCAAAAGAGTGGGTTAATCATTTAAGGGCTAGAAGAACGCCATCAACAGGTTTCTTAAAGTCTGATCTTGTTCTAACCCTAGAAGCAGGTTCACGTAAAAGGGAGACCAGTGAGGATGGTGCCAAGGCTGATGCGAGTTTCACCGGAATAGTCCCTTCGGGGATCACAGTAGCCTCCATTTTGGGAGTTTATCAAAGAGATGCTCACTGGGTCCTCCAGCTGGTTATTCACAGCAACAGTAGTCTCCATAATAGGAGGGTTAACTTTTGAATTGGGTTCACAATTAGGATGTGCCAAACCAGATTTGTCTAAGAAAAGTACTTCATTAGACCCAATAATGTGAATTTGGGGGG